CCCCCCCCCCCAAAGATACAGTTTTTTCTTTTTTAGCATGTACTCACCCTCATGTCATTCAAAACCTGTATGCATTTCTTTATTTCATTGAACATGAAAGATGCTTTGAAGTATGTCCAAGCTAGGCCTGTCGCAATAATCAATATATCGACTTATCGCGCAATATATGTACATGACCTCAATAATCTTTGGTGACGCAATATATTGCCCATTATATTTACTTAAAAATTTGCGCCTGTGTCTTTTGCAGCTTCTCGTACATAACGTGGTGTAGTCATGAGGTGCTAGTTCAAATTTAAAAAATGCTTCTACAAAAAAGTTTCATCTGCAGATATGGTCTTGTTTAGGGATCTGTGCCTTTGTGCATACGGACATCTGACTGATAAGTAGTGATTGTGTTTTTCAGCAATCGTGTGCACCCTTAATTTACAGAGAAAAGCAGGTCCAGGAAAAATTCTGTAGATGGAAAAATCTGCATACAATTTCTTTGTGCATTTTTCTTTTTTTCTACTTGTTACTTTGCACGTTTTGTTAGAAAATGTTTATTTACTATTTATTCAGTTTTTTAAGGAATCTAATATTTTGATACTTAATTTCCATGATCTAAATATTCTTAAAAATTAAAAGTTGGATGTCATTTGGAAGTGTGTAGGCGTTCTTGCATTATTATGCTGTTACATTATGATTATATATTCAGTGGCATAAAATGGTCTTTAAAATGACAATAATATCGCTTATCGCAATTATTTCTGGGGCAATATATCGCACAACCAAAAGTTGTTATCGTGACAGGCCTAGTCCAAGCTGCTCCTTTCCATGCAAAGAATGGACAACTAGGGGTGTTAATCTCCACAGTTGTCAAAAAGCACCATGAATCCAGTCCATAAGTCTTGAAGACTTCTTTATTCACTGATAGTCTTTGCCTCTGTCTCAGATCTCAGATCTGATTTGTCGTTGCACAGGGCCTATATTCGAGCATGCCATATGAAGACACTGTTAAAGGTTTAACATCAGTTATGCCAAGCACCATTGGTTTGTCATGTCAGATTATAGTACCAAGATAGAATATTTGGAAGTATGAATGAGAACTGTAGTAGAAGGCCAGACTTTCTAATAATAATCACTTAAATATGAGTCTGTTTGTCAGACCAAGCTGTCCATTGGCTTCAAAAGACTTGGAATACTGTTCACAAGTTACTTTGCTTGTCTGCTTGAATTTTCTTTTGTATTCCACAGAAGACACAAAGTAAACTACACTTAAAAATAAAGGTTCCAAAGGCTGGGGAGTTCACAGCAGTGCCATAGAAGAACTTATTTTGGGTTCCTCAAAGCACCTTTCAGTTAATGGTTCTTAAAAGAACAATTGTTTTCTTAGTTTGAAGAACAACATAATTTAAATTAAAAAAAATTCCACTACAAAGAACCTTTAGCGCAATTTAAGGTTTCCATAGAACGAATGGAATGTTCTTCATAGAACCATAGATGCCAACAAAGAACTTTTAATTTAAAGTGTATCCCTTAGGGGCCATTTACACAACGTTTTCAGCCAAAAACGGGAAACTTTTTATGCGTTTTGCCTGTTCGTTTACATGACAATGGCGTTTTGGGGATTCTGAAAACGCATATTTTTGAAAACGGATTTCAAAGTGCAAGTTTTTGAAAATGCCACCGTTATCGTTTCCGTGTAAACACCCAAAGGAAACTTTTTATGCGTTTTGCCTGTTCGTTTACATGACAACAGCGTTTTGGGGACTGAAAACATAATTCTGAAAACAGGTTTCAAAGTGCAAGTTTTTGAAACCGCCACAATTATTGTTTCCGTGTAAACACCCACAACGGGAATCTTTGAAAACGTGACGTCATGCGTGTGCGTAGTATGTGTTAGGTATGTAGACATGCGCAGTATGTGTTGATTTTAAAGGCAAGCGCGAACAAACATACACAACAATGGCGGAGTACATAGTACTGTTGTTGCTGCTCAAGAGTTTGCTAACGCTTCTTCAACAAAGTGTGGATTTACTTCACCAATATTACAACCAACAGCGGAGACGCATCATATACAACATACAGTGCTGTTTGAAAGTTTGTGAACCCTTTAGAATTTTCTATATTTCTGCATAAATATGACCCAAAACTTGATTAGATTTTCACACAAGTCCTGAAAGTAGACAAAGAGAATCCAATCAAACAAAGGAGACAAAAATATATACTTTGTTATTTATTTGAGAAAGATGATGAGTTAAATATTTATGAGTGTCAAAAGTATGTGAATCTTTGCTTTCAGTATCTGGTGTGACCCCCTTTTGCAGCAATTAATAATAATAACTGCTGATCAGTCCTGCACAACGGCTTGTAGGAATTTTAGCAAAACAGGCCCAAACCATGATACTACCTCCACCATGTTTCACAGATGGGATAAGGTTCTTATGCTGGTTTTCTTTCT